CCCCCCTAGATAATCTTCATTTCTATATAGTGGTATTCTTTATACTTTCATGCCATTTTAGCCAAAGGCTTTCTGAAAAGTGTTTGGCCCTCTAAAATTGTGAAAAGTATTTTTCTCAGGAAAATCAAAACATTGCATCCTCTACGCTAATAAATTACTCCAAACTCACATCTGCCTATAGGAATAGAATTTTGGAGTAGTTGTCTCTCATTTTTTGTTTTGCTCTTTTGTCTTCTCCACCTCTTCATGTGTAATACTGATTTTAGCTGCTTCTTGATCCTTCCGATAGCCTTATTGCATTAACCAGACATCCTGCAACAGTAATTCTAATATTATATCTATTTTGAGACAAATTTTTTTAAAAGAAATAATCATTTTATTAGGGGCTCATACAACTCATCACAAACTGTACATACTTCATCTTTGTCCAGGACACTTATTTTTAAAAACCAATTTAATACCTCAATAAAAGCTGTCTAAAAAATAATTTAGAATTTCACAAGATGTAGCAAGTCTTTCACAAGATGTACTGAGACTTTAATATATCAGAGTATTGAAATAATATTAATTTGCTGAAAGACCAGACTCACTGCCATGTGTTGCTTATGACTCCTAGTGACTTTACATATGGTTTCTGAGGCTGTAAATCTTTTCTGGGGCAGCCAGCCTCATCTTTCTCCTGTGGGACAGCAGGTGGGTTTGAACCATTGACCTAGCAGTTAGCAGTTCAATGCTTACCTGATCAGGGCTCATATTTGCTGGATAGGATTTATAATTTCTGTTTTTTGGGAAAAATAAAAACATACTTAATGTATGACACAGAAAACATTATATTGAAGTTGTAGGGTTTTCTTTTTGTGCTGAGACACTGTCTTTTCATCTCATGTGTCTAGAACATAGGTTCCCAAACTTAGTAGGCCTACTGTTCTCTTTCAGGAGAAAAAATTATTTAGCACCCTGTCAGTAAAAGCCTTTTCTTCTATTTTAACTCATAAACTAGGATAAAGTGTAGGTATCTGCCTTTGCAGACATGCTGGATCCTTCCAGCACCCCTTGGGGGACAGTATTGCTCACTTGGGAAAACACTGGTCTAGAACTGAGGAGCCCTGGTGGGGTAGTGGATTACAAGTTGGGCTGTCAACCACAAGGTCAGCAGTCGGAAACCACCAGCAGCTCCACAAGAAAAAGATGAAGCTTTCTGTTTTCATAAAGAGTGACATTCTTAGAATCTCACAAGGGCAGTTCTACTCTGTCCCATAATGTGGCTATGAGTCAGAATCCACTCAATGGTGTAGTGAGTTTTTTTCTTTCGTCTCTCACTGCCATGGAGTTAGTACTGGCTCCTAGTGACCCCCTGTGGGATTTTATCTGGAACGTGTGTAACAGTTCTAAGCCAAAAGACTAGTTAAGATGAAATTTGTCGCTAATGCTCATAATTTTCTTCTGTCATATATTGATTTGGGGTCTGTTAACTCTGCTGTTTGATACTTGTGATGGACTTAGCTGCACCACTTCCCCAGTGAATAGAAGGTGGAGAAGAGGGGCAGGTGGAGGCAGGCTCACTGACAGCGGTGAGATTAAGATCACTGCATCTCCTGAGACAGATCAGGTTAGCACGAGGGCCCCATTGTCAGATAGTATCAACTCAGAGTGACCCTAAGAAGCCTTGGTGGTTCTGTTGGGTCAGTGTTGGACTGCTAACCACAAGGTTGGTGACTCAAACCAACTGCTGCTTGAGGGGTGGGGGGGATTTCCTTAAAAATGTACAGCCTTGGAAAACTATATAATAGAGTCACTTTGATTCATAATTTATTTGATAGCACTGTGTTTTTTTGTTTGAGTCTCAAAACCAAAAACTAAA